AGCATATTCTTTGCAATGAAATTTCACTTACCATAAATCAACTTCCTTTGTTCTTTTTACATTTAGTTTGAAATGTTGCTGTTGGCCCTAGGATTAGATAGGCCAATGATACTCTTTCACATGCAGAATCTTGCTCTCCAGCTGTGTGCACAATTTTCACGATTTTGAGCTTGGTTACAGACAGATTACATGGGATTAGTAATGTTAAAGTATCGCCGCACTGACCAATTTTAGATAACTTTGTTAGGAGCCTGCCGTAGAAAATTCATTATCCTCCTATCCAGACTTTACACTAAGGGGAGAGAGGCTCCTCCAGAAATCAGTTTAATTACATTCCTGATCTGTGTTGTCTACTGTAGGAGACACCAATTACCTAGTCATCCAAGGACAACTAGCCTACTGAATTAGTCTCCTGAATTCCCCATTTCTGTACAAACCTAATCCTGTCAGTCTCGTGATATTCTGATTATAACCTTCCCCTGGGGCTTCTGTTTGTTTACCATATCAAAATAACCTGGCTATGAAAGCTGTAGAGTCCCAGTATCATTTTTTATGCCTGTTTCAGCTTTTGTTGACAAAGGGCCCAAACACTCTCTCACTGAGGTTGATACTAAAGTAGGTTGGCTTCGGTGGCACACGGAACGGGCTCAGAGCCAGTAACGATCACAGACATTGATCATTACTGAGGACATCATAACCTGGAAATCAGCATGAGAGTACCATCATTGTCATCGTCATCATCAGGACCACTCTCTTAAATTAGGAGAGTGAGACAGTACCGCTGTACATACAAGGACAAAACTTCCTTGGTCTTCAGCAGGGCCTGAAGGCTACCACTTCTGTATCCTGACCATCTTCCGTGTGACTTCTCAGAGGTATTTCCCTCTGCCATGTATAATCTGTATTTCTCTCTGAAACAGTAGAGAGCATCACCTTTTCATACTTGTTTAATAAAGCACACACAATGGCTTTTTACCTCCTAGGAAATCAAGTTGAAATTAAGCAATATGGTTACTATACCTTAGCTGGAAGCAACAAAGAAGATAACTTTTCCAATGGAATAATCTAACCTAAAGTAACTGCAATTATTAAGACATAGTTTCAAAGTCTTAAATTACAACATGAAATGTGATTGTTTACTGAACATTTTTAAAAAGTACAAAGTCTATAAAAAGCATTCACCTTTTTCAGTGTATATGTTTTGGTTTTGTTTACATGTCTGCACATATACAAACATGTACATATCAAATGCACTTAAAAGTATACAGTGCCTCAAAAAGACAGCTTTATTTCTCAGGTGTCTAACACAGTAGAAATATGTGAGTCTTCAAGTAAAATAAAATACCCGTAGGTATAAGAAGATAATTTTCACAATACCCTTGAAAATTTACTCCAATTATGTTTGAAGAGTTTTGCCATTACTGAGTAAAGATGAATGTGCCATTCAGGTGTTTGCTACTACATTCATTATCTGGCTTCTGCCATAATAATAAGATAATTTTTCTTGTTCCTCACAAAAACCTGAAAGAACTATTTCTAGGTAATAAAGGACCACAGACCAAATTAATGGAAAATAATCTCTGTCATGTGCATTTGTCAAATAATTTTTCCAACATATACACCATGTGTAATGCAGTAATTTGCTGCCTTGAGGTTTCTACGTGCCAACCCTTTTCACAGTATAAAATGTTACAAAACAGAAAGTATTAAGACTTTTTAAACGCATATTCAGAACTGCAACAGGCTAATAAAGTGAGGCATAGCTGCGCAATAAATGTGTAATAATAAATTGCCTTAAAGGTTAACATCCACTATGAAAGGATAAAATAGCTTGTTTTAGCACCACTAGTTTAGAAAAAAAGTAAAATTACTCTATTATTGACAGTAGTTAGATTATCTATTGAGGTAATAATTTCACATGGAAAAGGTGAAGAATGTGACATTATTACACACCTTAGATTTTATCACTTTTCAATACTCTTCGTTCAATGAAAGAGGAAGGTTTAAGTATCTGTATGAAACTACTTTTTGCCAAAAATACCTAAAGGTCTCAGGTGTCCCATGGAGCAGCCATATGAGTTCCCTAGGACCTTCTAAACCATGAACTCCTGCCCTGTAAATCAGTCAGTCATGTTGGTTCCTTCTGTAATTAATGCTGAGACACAGTGGCCACGAAAGCAATCATATCATAGAAATCAGTCTTGGGAGTCATGTAAGCTACCTGTCCACATGTCAGATAGCAAAAGGCAGGCAAGAGGCAAAATCAATCCCATCAAAGGCGTCTTTTCTTATTTAATTTCATATTTTGGCTTCTTTCTAAACAGAAGCTTTTATTTACTCATTAACAGCTTAAAACTAAAAAGCTGTTTGGGAAATAATTTTGAATTATTTTCCAAAATATTTGTTTTGATGGGAAGAAAAGAATTAATTAAATTAAATTAAGTGACTGCTATGAAAAGAAGGGTTGCTAAGTCCACCACAGAGAGTTCGTATCAATGTATACTTGTATATGCCCATCTATTTGTGGAAAACCTGTTTTTCAAATGTAGTCATTTTTCTTAGAAGAGGACATATTATTTTATGCTGATTTCCTAATATTACTTCAAAACAGTGACAAATTAAAAAGCCAATTAGTATTAAAAAAGATCTATATTTCTGGTTGTTTCTAAGTCCTGGAGCTCCTTGTTTTGCTAGCAGCTCAGAATACTAGACGTATTTGTAGCAGAAGATAGAAATCTGTCATACAGAAGAAAGCTTTTAGAAGTAGGGAGCTTTCTTTATCCTTATAGGCTTTACTGAAAAATATATGGATAGAGAAAATCATATTCTCTCAGGCAAGTTTATGGTGACAAACATTGAACTTCGGTATATGTGAAAGCAAACAGAAAAATTCTTGCTTTCAGTTTACAGATAGGAAATAAGAAAGATGGTATCAATCTTGGTGTAATAATTTCTTACATAGAAACATTTTGCAGCTGAAACATAGCTATGAATAGAAGATAAATCAAAGAATGAAATTATTTCAAACTCCTGGCATTAAAGTAGAAGGTCTAAAGCACACCGATGGAAGTAGAAATTTTGTTAAACCAACCTTAAACGTCACTTTACAAAGGCATGAATGCTGGGGTTCTGGACATGGAATGATGACCTTTCCTCCTAATGAAGTATATTTAAACATAGCAAAGTGGAAGAGGAGAAAAAGCCGCTGAAGGACCATGAGATCTTGGGGAATTATAATAAAAAGAAAGCTTTATAAAAACTTCATCACCTCTTTGCCTACCATTCCTGAGCAGACAAAGGACTAGTGTGCAATCACCGTCTTCCAAATAGTAAACAACTGCTTTGCTCCAAGCTTTTTTTGACAAATAGAATTCCTTGCAATAGTGGTGATGTATAAACGAACACGGTAACTATTTTTTTATTAAAAATTCACCATTGGTAAATTAGAAAAGCAGGAAATGTTTCAGTTCTTTTACTAAATTATAAACAGAAAACAATAACCAAATGTAATTACATGAAGCTGGCTAAGCCCTTAATTCCACTGATTAAAGCAGTGAACATTTGTGGACCTACATTCAAAATGCCTTCCTTGTGATAGGAAAAACAATTAATTTCTGAATAACAAGATGTTAGTGCCTCTTATGCAGTATTAAATATCCTTCAGAAAGCAGAAATTCAACTTCAGAAAATGTTGAGTGGTCAGATTCTCCTAGGATCACACCATAATTCCCTAGATTACATGTTAATAGTAAACTTAACAGAGAAAGCATTCAAAGACATTAATTTTCAGCAGCAGAGAAAAAAAATGCATTTCACATTGTAATGCCCAAGGCAAACACAAGTTTATTTTAATTTTTGTATCAAATAAGGTAACTAAAATGCCATCAGCAACATTTTCCTATAAACATATTTTTACAACATTCCTAGTTTCAAGACAAAGATCTCTATTAGGCTGAAGTGTGAAAAGTTTTCTCAACTGAAGAAGAAATATGTTTATTATAAACATGAAAGTCTAATTTAGGTATGAATGGACTCAAGAACCAAAATTTCATTATCGTAGTCTGATACTTTTAATCCATCCTAGATCATTGACTTATCACATTCTAGACATACAATTGTTCGGTAAGTATGCAAAAAAATTTAAACAAGCAAATAATAAATCAAACAAGTATTAAGCCCAACACAGCAATATATAAAGCTCTTCATTAAACTACACTTTACATAGTCCTACACGTGAATGGCTTTTTTTTAACTTCCTCAATAAAGTATACGCTGCTAATACTCTTTCCATTTAAATAGATATTTGTGTTTAAAACTGATTCTTTTGTCATGGCCAGTAGCAACTACCTTCTCAAAATATGCTTTCAGCTTCAGTCTGAAAGCAAGGTAATTCAGCAATTAAGGATTCTGCTGAGTGCTTTGCTTTCCCAAAACTAAATCATAAACTGACCGCTTAAAAGAACCTAGATTAAGGCCATTTCTTCTCCCTTTCAAAAACCATTCAAATAGAATTAGGCACTCAAAAACAGAATGCGTGGGGATGAAAAGAGTTTATAACAGATGAAAGTATTAATTGTGCTTTTTCCCCATGTATTTTGCTAATCATTTGAAATTGTTCATTTAGATGTGGAACTGGGTATGTGAGGAAAACATGAAAATAACCAGTATGCTAACCTCAGGGTGTGCTAACAGTCTCTTAATGTGCAAAGGACAATAGAATCAATAATAAAGTGAAAGAATGCTTTAAAATTAATTAAAATTTGAACGAAATTTAATTGTTCTCTGTTCTCACTCTAGCTTTACTCCCAAGAAATGCAAGCTTAATACCAAACAAACACTTAAGATACTGTTTTCACACATCCATTGCAAAAATAGCTAAAAAAAAGAACAAGCCAGTCTTACAAGTCTTAAAGTGGCCTAATTTTTTCACAAAATTTTGTCTTTTTTGAACAGACAAATAAAACGCTTTTACACCTGAGAAAATTAACTTGTTAACCTACCTCGACTGCATATCTTGGTGTGTTTTTGACTGGCTGATTTCAGCTGGAGGTGAAGGGACTTGCTGTTGTAGTTCCACCAAAGACTGGTAGTACTGTTGCTGATGATGTTGCTGCTGTTTGTACCGAGACAAACTGAAAAACAGCCCTAAAATGGCTTTCAAATTTCCATTTCTTATTTCTATTTAAAAAAAAAGGAAAAGAAAAAGAAGTGAAAACACTGTGGTTTTAGATTTCAGTTTTGTAACAGTTTTATACTGAAAAATCTCTGTACATATCTATAGCTATACATGTTTATGCCTTGTATCTCTTAATTTATGTCTAATATCAGGGACATGTTAGATATCACTGATACTTTATTGTTTGTTATAATCTTTGCTTATTCACACAAATAAATAAATAAATAAATACGTATCTCCATAATGTCCTCATGATGAGCCATACATGCATGGTCATAAAGAAAAGTACACAAAACCTTAAATAATATACATAATCTGAAATGAATACTCCTGCTTCAATACAGTACAAATATTCTCAGTAAGCAGAGGGGCATTCAGAAAAATTTGGATTCTTTCTGACCTTAGGTACACATCCCTTCTACCTCATGGCTTTAAATTACTCTTCTTGCTTTTTGGGCAAATTCTGTGTACACTGGGAGTAAACAGTGACTTTAGAAAAATCGGAAAGAGGAGATGGTAACAGTCTTGCGAATGAGCACATATCCATTCACAAGAATTTTCAAGGAACATGAGAGAAGGAGATCAATGGAAAATACCTATTAGAAAAGGTGACTGTAAGGTTCATGATTACATCTTTGAACATTCCAACTACATGATTTTCTAGCTTTCTATTTTACACTGCTATTACTGATTAATGAAGACTTCAGAACCACAGCTTTCACATGAGGCTAAAATAACTACCCGTATGAAATTCTGGTGAGCCACAGTAGCATCCTCATGTCTCCCATTCCTTTCTTAGCCTTTCCCCAGCCTGAGATGAAGGTTTTAAAAGGATAATGTTATTCTTTGCTCATAAAGGATCTCTGTGTCAAAAAAGAAGCCTCAAGAGGCCTTAATGAAATTATCTGCAGCACTTAGGTCTGTTCATAACCTCATTATTAATTTTCTTTGGCACTGAACTTCTTGTGAAAGGTTTTCATTAGGCCTATAGCCTTGTAACCTCACATGCAACACTGCAATCTTTCTGCCTTCCCTGCAAATCTAAATACTGAGCTGTATGTGCTACACAGCCTTTCTCAGGTAATTTTTAAAGCACAGTTTATAAACAATGACTGTCATATTCATGTCCTTTAAACCATACTAATTTTCTTTCAATAGGATTAGGTGAAATGTTAGTACATACACTAACAGGCCAGCAAACACTGGAGCCCTTATGCTCTCAACCCGCTCTTCAAAAGCAAACACAATCCTGGACACTGGAATATACCTTGCAAAATGGAAATTTGTTCTAAATATCCATACTTTCTCATCTTCCCTATGAAGATGATGCAGGATCTTTGATTCCCCATGAGACCACCAGAGACATGCAGAAGAACTTTCTCAGAATTAGAAAGCTTTTTAGGCAACAATGACTTTTGCAGTCACATTGGTTTCAATGAAAATCATTATCAAGGAACACAGAAAACTTAGATTTAAAATTATCTTAAAAAAACCCCAACAAAAACACATAACTATCCATCTTTAAGCTGCTCTGATTCTAAAAGATTTTCTGTATGTGATACTGGTTTATTTATTCTTACGATTTTGCATCACTTAATGCTCAGAAAAAGAACCCTTTGTTTGTTAAATCCCACTCACCATTTTTTATCTTAAAATTTTGTTCTCTTGATGTTAAACTGTATTTTTTACTATTTCTAAAGAAGAATGTTTTCAGTTTTGAACTTCTTTTTTCTTTCCTACTTTTAAATGAGTTGAAAGATTTCTCTTAAGCAGAAAAAATCCAGAAACTTCTAATATGTACTAAACACTTGCAGGGAAGAGGAGGGGAGTGTTTTTCTTTGTAGCAACTGGCTTATTATTTATCATCTGGGTTCTCCAGTAGAGATTCTGCAGTCAAGATTTGAAAACTACTTTTGTTCTAGACCTCCTTGTTCAAGTGTCAAAATGAGGTGAGAAACTGTTTGTGAAATCTTCAATCCTTGTTAAGCTCATGGTTTGCTGTTCCAGAAACTTTCTGGTCATCAATAAATGACCCAGTAGTAAGAAGACATATTTACCAAAGCCTATTACAAGAAACAGGGTTACGGTTTATAAACTTAATTGATTTTAAACATAAATGTGCTGACAAAACACTATGAAGGTAACTAGACAATTTCATGGTAAAAAAAAAGTCTGTTTTTCTCAATTTCTCCTCCTCAAGAGAAATTGTAATATTCAGGATTGTACATGCTAAAAATGTCTATTTAAGGGAATCACACTTCTGTGATACTTTAAACTAGTATCATTACAAATATATTAGTGGATTTACCCCAGATTCATGAACAACTGCAATACAGCAAAACTAGTTTTAATCTTACTTCAGAACTCAAGGTCTGCCTTATTAAAATTCTGTTTTAAAGATTAATAAACGTTTTAAAAAATAGTCCTTGCATTTAACACTACGTAGTATTATTGCTTTTAGTAGTATTTGAACTTAATGCTACACAATTGAAGCTTATTTCCTATCAAAAAAGATTTTCCAAAGCAAAACAAAGATATGAATAATGGAATGTATTACAGAATGCACTCAGATTTTGATTTAACAAAGTACAGAAAAAAGTGTCATGCGCCGTGTCATGGTATTAAAAAACAAAGAGTATTCTCATGAAATAAATTCACACTATTCACACATTTGATTGTTATTTCATATGCAAGTAAAAATAGGCTGCACTAAAAAATTCAAGTTCTAAACAGCTTTGAGATGAACGGTAACATGTAAATGTTCAGTGTTCTCATGCATCAACATATCCACAGTATATACAGAAGTTCTTTTAAATGAGTTAAGGAGCTTTCCGTAAGTAGACAATCAAAGTCGGTAGATAGTAGATATTATGGCCGTGTTACACTTCTGCTAAGGTACTAGAAAGGTGGAAATGGTGAAAGATAACAATTCTGAGTTAATTTGAAAATAAAACAGTGGTTAACATTCAAAATTTTTTCTCTGGGTATCTTCTAAAATTCAGCTGAAATTACCATCTCTGAAAAAAAAATGTATTTTTCCTTCTAGCTTTTAGTTGTGCTACAAGCAAAATAAAAATATAGGATTGTGTCTTGTTAATACCTATTGCCTTCAGCTGCCATGGAAGTCAGAGGGATTTTGAAGGTGCATAGCACCTTGCAGAACTGCTTAATTTGTTGTAGGACAAACGCTTGTGTACATGTTATTAATTTACAAGATAAAGTATCCACCTGACTTAATTTTACATTAATAAGGCAAATATTACATACTGATTAAGAAAATCGGTATTTTAGTGAGTTTGATTTAATATATTTATTAACTTAGTTGTAACCATATTAGGCAATCACTTGAGGTGACTAATACGGCAAAAAAGGCTATAATATAAGCAGCAAGACCATTCACTCTTTCACTTAATATATGACATCAAAAGAATACAATAATTTTCAGACTCATCCTGACAGTATTATTACTAATAACAAATTTGCTTAAACAAATAGTCTTCCCTGGGTTTACTTAACTGAGCAAGATTCTCATATTCATTTTTGTTGTTTTAAATCCCTTATATAAACAAGTTTAAAAGTACGCTTGGGAAACCCTGTACCTATCTAATATTGTGGAGATAACATGAAAAGATTAATACTATTGAAAAAATACTATTTTAAAACATTGTCTCGAGCTTCATAATAACATTGAATTTCTTGATTTGATTTCAAGGGAAAATTAAAAGGAAACTCACTTGCTATTACTAATCTATATTTGCATGCTGTTCAAGACAGCTGGAGTTTGGAATTTAAGTGCAAATAATTTGTATTAAGAGAATTAGTTTTCAGAAAAAAATCCTATTATTTGTTCTGATGATTTGTTTCTCTTACCTTCTGCAGAAAGACCTTGGACATTTACGCCTCTGGCTGCCAGAAAGCTAAGGCAGACATCAACATTCTCAATCTGCAATATGAACAGAAATAACAGGCAGCATAAGACTATTTGACAAAATGTAGAAATGCAGGGGGGAAAAAAAAAAAAAAAGAAACAGCCCAGGAATGAATACTTTACATTCATTGCATACTACAGCTCTTTACCAAAGTTTAACAAGAATGATTACTGCTAATTGGGGAATTGATATAAAGCTTTCATTGTCTGCTTTGGTGCTTAAAAACAATTCATAAATGCCCAATCCAGAATGGCATGCTGGCAAACGAGCAACCCACCTACTTAACATAAAACTGGATTTTATACGCTACAAACAAGCAGCAATGAAAGCATCCATAGAGGATTAGACACTGAGTATATGTCTGGAGATGTGGGTGACCGAGTTAACTAAAAAATGTAAGCAAAAATCTCCAACAAATGTGTTAGCAAAGGTATTTCCTTGGGATGATGTAGAATTCTGTGAAAATGATGTCACAGCAGTGGTTTATTCTCTATTTTTTTCCTTCAAATCTTATGCTAAATAATTTTAATTTATTTAATGTTTATGCTTCTCTGAAGAGTGCTTGCTTAGGGAAGGACACGGTGCTGACTTCTGTTGGTGGTTCAGAAGAAATCTACAGTTACCACAGAGAGCTTCAGGTAAGAGAAGAACATGTAGCCTAAATGTAGATCAATAAAAGGATAAAACTTCTGCCTCTAAAATGAGTAATCACAGAACTAATTTGACTCCTTTCATATGTCTATTTCTAATAGATTAGGGAGCCAGAATGTTCCAAAAGGTTCTAGTGAGTCACCATTCCCAGCTGGTTCCCCTAGCCCTCCCAGGATCTATGAAGCAAATATTCCGCTATAAATGTAAAATCTTTTAACTAACAACTTTGTCCATAAATATGCTGCTATGAAAACAGAAAAATTATGTATAGAGAGGCGTCCTATGTCAAATGTCTTCAACAGACTTGATTTTAAAATACATTTTTTAGCTTGATGGACTTTTTCAAGGCAATTAGGACCAGAAAAACAAAAAAAAATGTTTGATAATATATTTGAAATACCTATTTTCATTGGAAAACATTAAAAAAAAGAAAGGAATATTCGACACCAAAAACATAAGCCTGCAGTAGATCAAGTCCATGCAGTTAATTTTATTTGAATGTTTACACATTTCACAGTACCTCATATCAACAGTTTTCAACCATCAAAACACGAGGAGTAAATTCATTCCTTGAATAAAAGCTGCTTGACCCTTGGCAGTATCTTTTCTCGCCTAGGAGGAGGGCCTTTTATTATTGTCATCTTTCTATGACTGTAGTTCTGCCATTATTCTCAGAAAATGGAGATATATAATGGATATATATAAAATGGAGCTGAAAGGAATATAAATACTCTTTTTACTACTGATTTTAGAAGTCTATATTCCGCTATAAATGTAAAATCTTTTAACTAACAACTTTGTCCATAAATATGCTGCTATGAAAACAGAAAAATTATGTATAGAGAGGCGTCCTATGTCAAATGTCTTCAACAGACTTGATTTTAAAATACATTTTTTAGCTTGATGGACTTTTTCAAGGCAATTAGGACCAGAAAAACAAACAAAAAAAATGTTTAATAATATATTTGAAATACCTATTTTCATTGGAAAACATTAAAAAAAAGAAAGGAATATTCGACACCAAAAACATAAGCCTGCAGTAGATCAAGTCCATGCAGTTAATTTTATTTGAATGTTTACACATTTCACAGTACCTCATATCAACAGTTTTCAACCATCAAAACACGAGGAGTAAATTCATTCCTTGAATAAAAGCTGCTTGACCCTTGGCAGTATCTTTTCTCGCCTAGGAGGAGGGCCTTTTATTATTGTCATCTTTCTATGACTGTAGTTCTGCCATTATTCTCAGAAAATGGAGATATATAATGGATATATATAAAATGGAGCTGAAAGGAATATAAATACTCTTTTTACTACTGATCCTAGAAGTCTATATTACAAGCTCACACAGACTCTCTTGATCCACAGGTAGTATTTATAAACTTATAAATACCTGCAAATTTTTTACATATGTTCTTTTTAAGGACAATAAACTCCAAAGCATTAGTAAACACATCTTTAAAAGAGTCTTTTCAAACACTTGTTTTCAAGGACATTCTACCATTTGTAGGGAATGATAAATAATCTCTCTCCTAAATCAATTAAAAAAAATCCCAAACCAGAAACAACTCTGCAGCTAACACTAACTAAAGTTACTCCAAAATTGGGGTTTACCACAAAGCTTTCATAAATCAGTTTGGCAGGTGTCACCAATTGGCACAGCTGTGAATGTGGAATAACCATCCTAAAATCAATGGGGTTACTCCAAATCTGGCCCAGCACAGTAATTGCAGAAACTCAGGCCGTAACTCTGTCATTCTCTTAAATGTTTATGTAGTTTTACACCATGAAAAAAACCCAAATAAACCAGGTCATTTCGTAAGGTGTAGAGATGTGACACAGCTAAGTCAGTTGAAAGCTGGCTGCAGCTAAAATAGGAAGATCTGCTTCTTCCTCACCTCCTCTTCCTCCCAGGCGTGGGGCCCTGCCGCTGCCACCTCTGCTGGGCTTCAGCACTTCTCTGAGCGCACCGGGAGCTGGCTCCGTGCAGAAAACTCGCCCAGCAAAAAAGGCAAATGTATTTTAGTCACTCCGGTTTCTCCTGCAGTCAGATGAGCACAGGAGTCAGCAGAGGGTAGGGCACGTCCCAGCCTGAGTAAGGCATGGTTTGGGAGAGGAAAGGGGAGGTGGGAAGGAGGGACAGACAGACGGTGCCACTCCTGATGGCAACGGCAAGGCACTGGGCTGGCTCAGCCCTGACGTCCAGCTACACCCCTGCATCAGTCGTGAAAATAATGCACACGGTGAGAATATTTCTACTCGACCTTTAAACAATATCAACTACATAAGAAAACAATTTGAATGGAAATTTTCCTGTCCTGAAGAATTTAAAAGAAATGAAGATTTGTTTGGATATTAGCTGTATAACTGAGTGTCTCTTTGAACTTTCAAATCAACCATAATGCAGAATCAGCTACTTCAAAGATGGGAAATTTTGCTCTACAACTAAGTACTGGAAGCCAAAGGAAAAAAAAAAAAGAAAAATCAGACTGATGTCAGTAGCATCCACCTCCAAATAACTGAAAAAAAATTTCCTAGCAGACCTTGTAGTGTAACCAAGACGTTTTTCATAATGGGCACGTGCCCTCTGCTGTCGTTCATGAGGCCACAGCTATAAACAAAACCTAATTTATTAGGGAACATTTGAACCATAATGTGCTGTGAAAACATCTCAATATCTATCTGCAATACTGAATATTTAGTAAATAGAAGCCTAATACATAAACCTTAACATACATTTAAGGTGAAAAATACCCTATAGAAATGGCACCTGGTTACTTTACGTGTCTACTTCTACTGCGTGTGTCTTTGAAGTCACATCTCTCAAACTCTCAGACAAAACTAGTCATTACCATTAACACCAATGACTCAATATACTGCAGAACTACAAAGCAAATTCTGTTTTGCTTCACAGTTCACCAAGAGAACTCTAATAGAAGCCCTAAGTCCGAAGTCACTGAAACCCAGAAAAAAAAAAAAGAAAAATCAGACTGATGTCAGTAGCATCCACCTCCAAATAACTGAAAAAAAATTTCCTAGCAGACCTTGTAGTGTAACCAAGACGTTTTTCATAATGGGCACGTGCCCTCTGCTGTCGTTCATGAGGCCACAGCTATAAACAAAACCTAATTTATTAGGGAACATTTGAACCATAATGTGCTGTGAAAACATCTCAATATCTATCTGCAATACTGAATATTTAGTAAATAGAAGCCTAATACATAAACCTTAACATACATTTAAGGTGAAAAATACCCTATAGAAATGGCACCTGGTTACTTTACGTGTCTACTTCTACAGCGTGTGTCTTTGAAGTCACATCTCTCAAACTCTCAGACAAAACTAGTCATTACCATTAACACCAATGACTCAATATACTGCAGAACTACAAAGCAAATTCTGTTTTGCTTCACAGTTCACCAAGAGAACTCTAATAGAAGCCCTAAGTCCGAAGTCATCCCTCTTGGTGGTGGTGTATGAAGCAATAGCAGTGGCCAACTTTCAGACAATAGACTGTGGTTGCACTGTTAGCCTTATAATAAAGTCTTGTTTTGACTTGTGAATTGAGCAAGTTTGGTGTGGCAACTCACAGCCACATAATACACTGAAAATGTCAGAAAATAACTCTTACAGTCAGTTTTCTGATAATAACTGCAGTTACTATACAACTCTCAGGAACTGTTAGGAGATTCAGAGAGACATGCATTAATATATTCTTGGGTTATTTTCACTTTCTTTCCTCTCCAGTCTAGAAAACCTTAGCCTTAAAGTTGTCCCATTTTGAAGCTTTCAGTGTGTCTCTAAACATTGCTTTAATTACCTACTTCTTGCCTTGGCAAACCACAGTTATTCTTTGAACTCAAACCCTAGCAGCCCCAAACACTTTTTATTCAAACTTACTAACAGATGAGAGTAATTTTGCAATTACAAAAGTTCTGAGAGATTTTAAGCAGCTTCCACTCCTCAGTACTGTTTCAATCAAGCATGGTATGAATCCCTGAAGTCCATGTTTATTTAAGTAGTTAGTGGTGGGGTTATTATACGCTGGGGTAAACTCTTCCTAGAGCTGACACTGCATACGTAGAACTCTACCTGCTTATATATCAAGGGCTGAAGATTTTGCCATGTAACACTTAACATAGATGCCAGACAAATTTCGTATCTCACAAATGGCCACAATTTTGTAGTGAATTTTGCTTGCAAAAAGTACCAGTTCATAACAGAGTTGGTGTTCATCGTTATCGCGAATAGTATCATCAGAATTACAAAGTGTTGTAGCAGAAGATATAGCTCATTACAGTTCAGAATTCAGGATATACAGATTGACTCCAAATCTTACATATCAAGATACAGAAAAGTGACT